GATGCATTGACTGTGGAAGGAGGTTCAGGTGGTCGTATAACCTCAATACACACCAATGAACTTCACACTGGGGAGAAGCCATTCACCTGCTCAGCATGTGGGAAAGAATTCATTCTGTTATCCAATCTGTTGCCACACTAGAGAATTCACTCCATGAAGAAGCTGTTCAGTTGCATTTCATGTGGAAAGAGTTTCAGGCAGTCATCTGTTCTCAGTACACACCAACGCACTCTCACACTGGGGAGAGACCATTCACCTGCTCCATGTGTGGGAAGAAATTCACTCATACTTGCAGCCTCCAGAAACACCAGTGAATTCACACTGAGGAGATACCATTCACATTCACTTCATGTGGAAAGAGTTTCAGACAGTCATCTGCCCTCATTGTACACCAACACAGTCACTGGAGGGAAATCATTCACCTGCTCTGTGTGTGGGAAGGCATTCATTCAGTCATCAAGCCTTGTGACACACCAGCAAATTCATAAACGACTGCAGTGGTTGGATTTGCTGTTATTGCTGCTGTTAAGAGATCCAGGATTGAGCGTCTGATGATTGTTTCTTATGAGGTTAACAATACTATAACTGGCTGGTGTTTAATTTTCTGGATAACATATCCAGAAAATTAAACACCAGCCAGTTATAGTATTGTTACTGATGTATGAGGCTGCAATGTTTGTTTTTCTCCTTGATTCAACCATTCTCAGCATGAATTCATTGACAATAAAAATTGAGCTCTTTCTTCAATGCTAAATTGATCTTTGTTGTAAAATGCCGCACTCAGTGTCGGAAAGGTTTCGCTGATTACCATCTCCAATCAAAGACTAATCTCCCAAGTGTCTGGGCCCTCATCAGGCAGTGGAGACTGCATTGACATGGGTATGTTCTCGGGATGGAGGACGTTCATCACGACAGCTCAGCAGCAGGTAGCAACAGCAAAAGCAATAACTCACACCAACAGCTAAAACCCACTTCACACAGATTATTATTTACTGGAGAAATGAAACAGGAAGAATATGTTGATGAGATGAGGAATGAGATCAGTACATTTAAAATCCAGAAAGGTCTTGCTGTACGTATTCAATAATTCATTAAATCTGTACCTCAAAAGCTGGGGTATCATTAATGCGACTCCAATGTTTAAAAAGATGATAGAACAGTCCCAGAAAATAGCAAACCATTAAGTTTACTATGGGTGAGAAGGAAAGCAAAGAGTCTCAGTAAGGTAGAGAAACAAAGGAAACTTGAAGCATAAATACTCCAATCATTGACAGATGTACCATAGGTTCACAAGTCAATCCTGTAGGAAGCCCTACAGTGTGGAAACAGGCCATTCAGCCCAAAAAGACCACACTGACTCTCCAAAGAGCATCCTACATAGACTCAAGCCCACTACCCTGTCCCGGCATTTCCCATGGCTAATGCACCTAATTTACACATCCCTGGACAGTATGGGCAATTTAGCATGCCCTATTCACCTAATCCACACATCTTTGGGTTGCAGGAAGAAACCTATGCAGACATGGAAAGAATGTGCAAACTCTGCATAGATGGTCACCTGAGGCTGGAATTGAACCTGAGTCCCTGGTGCTGTGAGGCAGCAGTGCTAACCACCGAGCCACTGTGCCATCATAAAAATCAAAAATCCCAACTCTACTTTCCTGCCTGCTCCCCACAGCTTTTTAAGCCGCATTTCAACAGAAATATATCTATTTGTTTTTTGAATCTGTTGATTGATTCTGCCTCCACTGCACTCTGGGACAATGAGTTCCACACAACCCTCTGAGAGAAGCAGTTTCTCCTCATCTCAATTTTGAACCTACCTCCTCTCACTCTATATCTATGACCCCTCTTCGTCCAGACTGTCCCTCAAGGGTGAACATCTGTTCAATGTCTGCTTTATCAATCCCCTTTAGCATTTTGCATACCTGAATCAGATCCCCCCACCCCCTTCAGTTTTCTGAACTCCAGCAAGTACAAGCCCAATCTATTCAACTACTCCTCATATAATAATCCTTTCAACCTTGGAATCAATCTGGTGAACCTCCTCTGAACTATCTCCAGTGCAACCACATCCTTCCTTCATCTGGGGGAATATTGTTTTGTTATATATTGGGATCCAGGTGGATATAGTCTACTATTTTATAGTAGGGTCAGGGTGGATATTTTCTACTGTTTTATATTGGCGTCAGGGTGGATATTGTCTACTGTGATACTGGCAAAGGAGTGGATATTGTCTTCCGTTTGATATTGGGGGCTGGTTCAGTGTTCTGTCACTTTTTGTATCGAGGTCAGGGTAGATATTGTCTATTATTTCACATTGGGGTAAGGGT